TTAACCCCTAATAGCATCAATAGATCTCATATTCGCTATTGATTTGAGGGTGTGGGTGTGGGTGTGGGTGTGGGTGTGGGTGTGGGTGTGGGTGTGTGGGTGTGTGGGGTGTGGGTGTAAATATCTTCTCATCACCCACACACACATACACACCCACACCCAGTCACACCCACACCCACACCCACCCATTCACACTCACACCCCACACACCCACCCACATCCACATCCTATCAGACGTATTTATTTAGATAACAATTCATATGCCATTCAACTTGAATATTTGAATACAACCGACAGTAGGACGACTCAGCTCATTCAACTACCCGGTAATAATTGAGAAAGATATTGATTTTTCTGACTAAGCATGTTTACAGAATGCGCAAGTACAATGTATTCGGTGACGACCTTCAGTCGATTGTATCAAGACAAATTTCCATTAGATATGGAGAAAGAATGTCGAAGTAGTGGTACAAAATGTGAGAAAAACTATCAGTATAGAAAAGATAAGTGTTTAACTTGTTTCAGGTACACATCTGTCGTGTCTCTTCGTGAGGATGATTACTTGTGTTCTATCCTATCTTAAATAAATCGAATTCTCTGCGACTTTGACATCTTTGTGTGTGTGTGTGGGTGTAGGGGGTTTGTTCGTGTCTTAATATGTTATTGAAAAAAGAACACAACATATCCACTTTTTTCATCTTTGTAAAAATGGTTAAAATATAATGACAAACAAATCACAAGACTTTTTTAGATGTAAAATATGTGCTCCTCATTGTTATTTTTCTTCTGCAACAAGCAATATTTGCCAAAATTTATTTTGATTTAGGACGACGATTTCGAATAATAGATGCTTGCTTATCCTGTTGTGCTTCGACTTCAGTAATGCAACATGTTTTCTTGCCACATATTTTTCGATGTGGAGAACATACCATACGATGACCCTTCATTGGACAACAACTAGTACTTGTTCGACATGTTTCAGACCATTTTTTGCATGAAGACAACAAAAAAGCTCTAAAAGAAAATAACTACTATGAATGAAAGAATAATTATTTTCAGTCAACTTACGATGCAGTTGAAAACAAGAGAATAAAAACTACAAATGTTCCAAAAAATAATTTCATTGTTTATGAATCTCAAATGAAAAAATAATCATTATTCTTTTTGTATTGTTATTATATATAAATTCGTTTCATTCTAAAGCTTTTGCATATTTCGATTAATCACAATGATGAAGAAGCCTAATAGAAAAATTCTTTATGTGCACGTATTTAAAAGCGATAAGGAAAGAAAGAAAAAGATAATCGTAGAACTGAAGTTATTGATTTTGAAATTTCATCATTGACTGAATTACCTATTGAATAGCATACAGATGGAAATCTATTAAGAGAACGAAGCAAGTTTATAAACGAAAAAAATGCCATTCCTTGAGAGTGAATCATCAATAATCAATAGACCTAAAAGAGCTTGAAGAATGTCGATAAAAGATAAATTTTACCGACTGAAATATAATATTTATATAATATATAAATGAATGATAGTCATGTCATTGAAAGATATTTCTTAGAATCAATTTTTAAACATTAATCATACAATGAGTCAAGTGAAATGTGACCCATCGAAAGAATCGTTTATCTGACATTAATGATCAGATTATCGTTCTTGACTGCATTGGCAATCGATGATTTGATAAAAATTAGAAAATTCTTTTGTAAAAACGAACTAAGATTATGAATCTTTCGACTATTTATTTTGTCAATGACCGCCTATAAACCATTCATTTATCGAATAATGCAAACGTTTGATATGCCAATCTTCAAATTATTGTCCATAACACGACAACATTAACTTTTTTTTGTTTACTATGAGAACAAATAAAGTAAACAGAAAAAAAAATAATTTCGTAATCAATCAAAGTTATGACTGATTCGAGAGCATAACATAGTTGCGAGGTTTTAATTACGAATGAACATCGAAGATAGATGTCCATACTTTAATTACATTGACGCACTATCCATATCTATACATATACTATATGATGCTTATTTTACAACGTCGTTTAGTTAATAGACATATGTATACCTTTATATCATAATCATTTGTTATTATTTTTTGTTTTCGTTATACTATAGTTTTGGGTACTACTGCAGAATGACAACATGAAGAAGAGAAAGGGTACCGTTCTTCTGCATTTAGGATTAGCGCACATTATTTCTTTACGAAGGTTATATATGAGCAACTTCCTCTTATTCATATCGGTCAATACAACGAATCAATTCTTCTTATTAGTTCGCTGATTCATCTTTATATGTATCGACAATTCTCGTCACATTCAGATGTTACCATGATCAACTGGTACTCGTTAGTTGCATGAAAACTTTTTATTTCTACTATATCAGAAATAATGTATGCTGAGAACTTGTCAAATGAATTCATACTTTGTATTTAGGATAAATTACCAACAATCGATGCTATCTTCAATTTTTGTGATCTGCATAATCATATTAATTCATTACTGTGACGCTCCCGTCTTTGTTCTCACTCTGTATTTTGTCCTTGAAGTATTATGTTATACTTGCCTTGATCCTTGTTTTTCTGTTATCGCTCCGCTACTTGCGTATATAAGCATTTACTTTGTATACAAGTGGTGTGATTGATGATATGAAGAAGCTCAATAAGGTGTAATTCCATCTTCATTAACCCTTCTTCTATCTAAAAATTGTCACAATAAGAAAAATTGTTTAAAATTCATATCATCATTAGAATTGTAACTGAGAATAAGTTTAATCTAAAATCATATTCTCAATTGAGACTGCTAGTTATATTTTATATAATTTTGATTATTTTATTTTAATAGGTTCACGATATTCGAATATCAATTCATCCTTATATATAACTTTGAAGATGAGTATAAAGTGAGACATAGAAGATACCATAAACAAACATTGTATTATATGAAATTGTTTTCCCTATGTACGAACCAAGTTTGATTTTTGATTCTAAAAAACACACTAGAAATTCAGACAAGGTAGATATCATTTCTAAACAAATAGTGTGAATCATTAATGAATTATTTCTTTTGAACATTTCTAATTTAAATTGATAGAAGAAACAAAAAAAATTTTGCAAACCTGTTTGGTTTGAGGCTCTCTCCTGAAAAAAGTCACTTTCCATCAAAATTAACGAAATTAAGATAAACGCAGGAAAAATTAGGCCGTTATCGGATCTCTCATAAATGATAAAAATTTTTACTCGGCATGCCATTTTTTCCAAAAATTTTTAAAGATTTTTCGAAAGAGCTTCATTCTAGTGACTAGTTTTTTTTTGGTTGGAAAGAGCGTGTAAAACTGCAGTGCCTATGTGAGCTAGGTTTTTTTTTATTATTGAACTTTGTTTTTATTATATATACAAACCTTTATATAATTAGAGCTCCATTTTTGGAATGGTTTTTTTGAGTCATTGAACTTTCGATCCTTTTTTCTCTCTTAAAAAGTAAGAGTTAAAAAAAGGGTTCTTATAGGCACTGCATTCTGATATGCTCTTTCGAACAAAGAAAAATATTAAATGTATACACTGAAGACCACAGAGAAATTTTGTAGACAAAATTAGCTATTTTTTGACTCTTGTGTAGCCAGTATCTTCGTCAAACATCATGGTACAGAACTGAAAATTTTACCATAGTCATGGTTTACCAGTCCCAATATATTCTGAAAATTTCATGCGATTTGAACGTTCCTGGCCTGATATCAAATTTTGAGGGGGTCTTTGGGTCATGTGCAAGTTCGTTTAGATTTAAATTCAGTATGTAATTTAATACAAATGTTTCCCCTCCCATATATGTTCTTTTTTAGAGTAGTCGGCTACATTCAGTGGATCTCATCAACATAAAAATTTAACATCAGTGAAGTTGAAAGTCGAAAGCCAAATGATATGTATGTTGTTCTTCAACCTCTGTAGTATAATATGAAACGACTAGTACTCTATTTTGAAGAAAAACAACAAATATCATTTACGCTTTTGCATGCTCTGCAATGTCCGCTACGTGGTCATGGTGTGTTAATAAAACAGTTTTTGGTTGGAAATGATTTGATTATAATCTTTCACATCATCGATCTAGATAAAATGTTTACATTGCCATACGAAAGAGAAATACTACCAAATGATGTTGAAAACATGTACAGCTGTTGCATTTCACAACTTTTGAACTTCGTGACTCAACCAAAAGCAATTCTACCGATCATCTTGTGAAATGTATCTGAATGAAAAATTTAGGCCAGTTTGATGTGTAAAGTGAGAAACTTATATACATCTGATGATTACAGATCCTACTTATATTCTTACTATGCTCTTTCCGATGTGATTCTATGAGAATGGTGATGTGGAAAAAGAAATATTTGCTTATTATATTTAGAAAATATTATAAATTTCTGTTTTAAAGAGATATTAATCTCATTAGTTATGTATCGTATTCCATGGTGTTCATCATTTAGAGCAATTCAATATTGATGTGTTATTGAAGAATTGCTTTGTTTGAATCTATTACCTTAGGAAACATATAATTAGATTATACAGTCTAAAATGAAACTTATCTAACAAAGAAAAAGATAAAGTACAGTGCAGTATCTTTATATATTATATTGATACCTATATTCTATTCTTTATTCATTTAAATGGAAGCGAATAAACTAACAATTAATAAATTGATCATGTCATACACAAGTAAATAGTCTGTTGCAAAATCATTTATGTAATAAAATTAGATATAATGAAAGCATGAATTTCGTTCACATCACATTAAAGAACATGATTTCAATATCATGTAATACGAGCTACTAAAGATCATCATACTCTGTAACTATTTTGATACTATTCAATCGTGTCTCGGTAATTCTAAGAAAATAAATAAGACTTTTTGAATTTTCCAGCATATTTGTAAAATTAATTACACGATATTCCTTAGACATTGTTTTTATTGATTTACGTTTATCTTGATTATGAATTCAGTTATTGTCTATTCGATACGATAAAATGATGACTAACGAAGGAATACTCCAAGGTGCATATTCGCTTTTGAGTCGAGACTATGTACATCTTGTAGACCCGGGTGTAGGTGCGGGTTTGGGTATTTTCTCTTACTCCATATCCACACCCTGAATCTGTCATAAGACATCGAAATCGAGTACTAAGATTTAAAAAATGCTTTCATTATATCACCACCATCAAGATATTCAAAAATTTCCAGAAAAAGTTCATTTGACATATCAAAGTCAGTTAGAAAACTTCAACAAAAGTTTAATTAAAGTGAATCAAAGAAATATCAGTATTTGCGTAGTTCATTGAAAATTATGTTAAGATGTGTTACATTTTGTTAAAAGAAGTATCTTGAAATTTAAAGAAAGATTTACTTTGATATCGAAAGAAAATTTGTACAAATAAGATATATGGTTTGAGATAAATCCTTTTCATCGAGTCACATCAGGATACGTAATGATACGATTGAATACTTCATATTGATCAAACGATCAATGACACTGATCTGTCTTAATGTGTATCGAGGGTGGGTGTGGGTATGGGTCTAGCTATTCTTCATAATAAACCCACATCCACACCCAAACGAGACGACAATGAGTGTTTTTTTGCCTACTTCCCTACATTTATATGTGAGCACACGTGTTTGCAACAAGATTGAGGGGAATGCGCCGATAAAAGTGGATGTGCGTCTTTCTTTATTTTTCTAACGTTATCGCTCGTCGTCGCTTTCTCTGTTCTTTTACTTCCCACACCAAAGAAAAACACAACTTAAAAAAAAGACGTATGATTCATTCATTTTACATGTTCCTTTCTATTTTTTGCTTCAAACGTTAATTGCTGGCTTGTTGTGTGTTTTGAAGGTGTCGTAGCGTCATATTGTCTAATCGAGAGTAGATGGACGACGCATCACAAAATAATTGCAAGTATTTTTTCTAACCAGTTTCTTGTGTTATGTGTACCGCATAGTATGTACGGGTAAGTTTTGTAGAATCAATAGAATGAAATAGAATTTATCCATTAAAGCTTCGATCTGTTTAAATTCCAGAGTGTACCTTATTTTTTAGTGTTATATGTCGGTTGTGGGTTTTTTCCAAGTTAGTAAACACAAAATGAAATTTATCAAACGGTTGGGTTATAACTAGATAACATTTTTTCGTGTCGTTCTTCGAATGGCGCACTTTTCTTTTGTTCTTCGGTAATTTAAAAAAGGGTTACAGATATGGGTTCTTCGAAATGATAATACTTTTTGTGGTATTAAATTCGTTGATAAGACAGTTTCTCAAGTTTTTAGCCATTTTCTGAGTGCGCATATTCAAATGTGATGGGAATCAAAAATTTCTGACTATGCAGATCTCTAATCCTGGGTGAGACATGGTAAATAGATTTCAGATCCTACTAGCATACTGAGAATGCATCCTCTATTCGGTTTATTCTAGTTGATCAGGAAAAAGGCTTCATTTATAAAGCAAAATTTTTAAAAATTCAATTAAGACATTGTTAATAAAAGGTAAAATCACTTAAAAAATTCGGTGAAATGCCGAGTTCAATACATTCTGCAATAGGCTTCCAAGAAATTCTAATGTTCATTTGATTTTCTTTACTTTTTGAGTGACAATTTAACTAATCGAAGAGTAAGACTAAGTTGAACTCGTCTCCAGAATATAATTCATTAATAAAACGAGATATAACAAGGAAATTTTCCGATAAAAAATGTTTTCTATCAGAACGACTAAACATACGGCATTTTTAAACATGAACTCCGTGAACAAGAGCATCAACTTTTAAGTATTTCGAATTAGTATTTTGTTTTTTCAAAAACTCAGAGACTTAAATAGCAAGAAGAAACGAAAAAACAAGTCATAAACTGAATAGAGGTCATTTGAAAGTGTAATGCGAAGATTGTTTAGATATTTTCAAATGCACATACATTAATTGTAAAGAGTCACCTTTTTTTCATTTCTTTCATAGAACAAAAAACCCATATACACATACAGAAATTTCCAAACAAATAGTGAATCATCATGAAATTCTCTCTTTAAATCTAACAAATATACAGAGATATTATTTGTGTTGTATTCTTTTCAGATTGTAGCATTTTCATTCCTTCTATGGCAGGAGCGGCTCCTAGTCCTTTAAGTAAGAAACTTTGGAGAGAATTGACTGATGTCAAATTACTGAGTGAAAATAATAAGCTAAAACAAGGCAAGTTTATTTATGAAAGTTCTTCATTCGACTATTCACCAGAGGACTTACCCAAGGGTTATGCTCAAAATGTTATTGTTGGACGATTAGAACTAACATCGAATATTTATAAAACTCATGATCCTCGAATTGAAATCCATCTACCACCAGAATATCCAGTGAAACCACCTGAAGTGGTCATGGCGACACCAGTCTACCATCCAAATGTTAACGAAAAAAGTAATCGAAGTTTATCGATATTCTCTTGTTGATAAACAGCAAATAGATGAAACTTGCTAATAATATCATAAGTTTTATACTCATTTTTCTATCATGTAGATCGATTATGTGATAATCGCCTGACTCTGACTGAAACGTGGAAAAATCAAACGACTTTGCTCGAAGTTCTTGAGATTATTATCGACGTTCTTGATAATCCTAAACCTGAAGGTGGTGCAGTGAATACCGGTTTGTTCTGAACAGTAGCCTATTACCTCTTTTACTATTTGCTTTTTTTATAGATATTGCTAGAGAATATATGCAAAATAAAGCTGAATACGAACGAAAGGCGATGGCAATGATCCAGAAGAATGGAGTACCTCGATCATAAAAATAATCCGATGTTTTTTTTTCTTTCCGGACAAAAAATGACTTTATCATGTGCAAAAGCTTTTTTCCTTTTGACATCTGTTTTTCAAATATAAACCTTCTCTATTTTTCGTCTTCTATAAACAAGAATTCTATTTTGTAATTGAAAATTCTCTACATAGATGAAATCCTTTTTATCTTTCGAAATAAATAAAAGAAACCGAGATCACTAATGGATTCGATCATGTTCATTTTGAAACTAATGCATAGATGTCAACATGTGAATGACCGCAACTGCACAAATTGTGCATGATATCCTAAGCAGTTAGCAGGACTGAAAACACGTGTAAACACACATATACAAAAGGAAAAACTGATCGTTTCGCTCTTATAATCTAGGACCACGATTTTAAGCAAAAATAAGCACGTTTTTTCTTTTCATGTATTTACAGGTACTTTCGATAGTTTATGACTGCCTGAAGAACACCGAATAAAAACGAATAGAATGGTTTTTATAGATCAAAACAAATAGGAATCATTAGAGGATGAGAATATCAATGCATAACTACCGACGAAAGATCTTCCTCATGAAGCTTAAAACTGCTTATCCTTGCCGAGAAAATTATGCGTTTATCTATGTATTTCTTACACATTTCGATTATCATTCATGATAGTTTCTACAGGGATATATAAGCTCGAAAGATGAGGCATTATCTGAGCTTCCAAGAAACTCAGATAGATTTTTTTTACGCAGTCGTAAAGCCCTGAAGAGTATGGGTGTTTAAGTCAGTGAGCACAAGAGTATACCCCACTCACATTGTTCTACTTGATCAACAAAATCCACCGATAAATAACTTGATTTTTTTCAATTTTGTATTTGATCAAGAAGTTCATCATGAGATCTTTTCTTTAGAAAAAAAATCTGTCTATAGATTTAAAAAAATAATGAAATTTAGTGTAGGAAATAATCACTAATAAATTATAATTTCTTTTTCACGAGTTCAATATTAGTTTTCGCTTGCATGAGTTGTGGATGGGTTGGAGGAAGTGATTTTTGGTAGAGATCCACTGCGCGTTCATAAAATGGAAGCACCTTCGAGTACTCGCCCATGCTGTAGTACTCCCAACCGATGTTGTTGCAAGTAGAAGCTAACTCAGGATGATTCGGAGAAAGACATTTTTCACGAATGTCAAGTGCTCGTTCGTATGATGAAAGTGCTTTTGAGTGCTCCCCCATCTTAGAATACACCACACCGATATTGTTGTAAGAAGTGGCCAAGTCTGGATGAATTGAAGGGAGATTTTTTTGCGAGAAATCGAGTGCACGTTCGTAAAGTGAAATTGCTTTTAAGTATTCACCCATATGATAATATACTAAACCGATATTGTTATAGGAAGCAGCTAACAGGGGATGGTTCGGAGGGAGAGTTCTTTCACGGATATCAAGTGCTTTTTCATATGATGAAAGTGCTTTCGAGTACTTGTTCTTGCAATGCATGCATTACCAATGTTATTGTAGGAATAAGCCAAATCGAGATGGTTCGGAGGAAGACATTTTTGGCGGATATCAAGTGCTTGTTTGTGTGATGCAAGTGCTTTTGTGTACTCACCCATGTTGATATACACATTACCCATATCGTTGTAACACCTAGTGAAGTCTCCATAGTTCGGAGAGGTCGATTTTTGAAGAATATCGATGGTTTGTTCGTAAATCGAAAGTGCTTTCGAGTTTTCGCCCATTCTTTCATAGATCGAACCAAGTTGAAGAGTATAGTTTTTTTCTCTCTATATCAGAAACTGCCTTTTCAAGAAGGATCTGATAGAGTTGTTCAGCTTTTGCATACTCGCCTGCTCTAATAAGTATATGGCCCAAGCGAGGCCAGCCTGTTGACCAACCACTTTCTTTGCGTAATCCTTCAGTGAGTACGTTAAAATCATTTTTATCATTACCCGTGAGGATGAGATATACCTGCCATAACCGATCAGTGTGCTTGTCATCGATTGGTTCAATTTTATCGATGCGAAAGATTGTGTGTGTCGAAAAAAGAATTTCTTCTTCATAATCTTCGTAGAAGCCGACCGTTTTGACGTTGACAAAAGGAATCGCTGCTGTTACGCAGAGTGTCGGATCGATGGTCATAACAAAGAGTATGCCAACCGTATTAGGATTGAGTGCTGCAGGATATGCAAAATTGTTCAGTGCAATATTACAATTGTAACTTGTTGAAAGAAAATTGTTAAAAGACATAAGTTCTCCTGTTGCCTGTTCCATTTTTTCAAAGTACTGCATAGATAAACCCTGTCCTCGATATACTTGAAATGGAGCTGTCTTCGCCGTTGACGTTGTGGCTTGTTGTTCGCGGTGTAATTTTTCAATATGTTGGTGTAGGTGTCGAATGAAGAAGCCCATTCTGAGTATGATATCTACATCAAGTAATCGTAGGCCTCGATTGAGCATCGAATAGATAAAATATGGGGCCGTGTACCACCAAATAGGTGTATGATCACGATATTCTCGTTCGACTTTTTCAATTTCATCTTGAGAAATCTCATCATGAAGACGACAGTACTCAACGAGTTCTTTGATGGATTTAGTGTCATCATCATCATCGATTTCCAAAAGAGCTTCTTTAAATAATTGCGTATACATGAACGATGCATCAATACCACGAAAACTGATCGGGATCAAAGCTCGATCACATCGTTCTCTATCGATTTGTAATGCTTTACAAATCGAGTCGATATCAGTATAAATCGCCTTTACCTTCGACATTGTTTTAGCCCATTGTTCATGGATCGATTGATTACTACAATAAACATAAATAGAATCTAATTGTGTCCATCCATCGATTTTCGGTACAATATATTGTCCGAGTGAACCAGAAATAATCAAAAATATTTTTTCTTCTTTAATTTCTTTCATAAATTACATGCATTCTTTAGCATCAGTATATGTCCTGATTGATGTTACAATGCGTCGAAGCTGTGCTAATGAATATGTTAAGTCTTTTTTTGATTCGTCAATATTGGCATCGAGCCATATTGAGAAGAAAGTTTTGCACAATTCGACGAACACGAGTAGGCACTGCAGTATTATTGCCTATAGTAGTAATAGAGGCTGATTCACGACCAGAACTTGTTGTTGATTTCTGGTTGCCCATGATGTATGGATGAATGAATGCAATAACGACAATTTCGTTCTCTTAAATTTACATATGCATTGTTACTTTCTTTTTTTTAACACTTTTTTCAGCAGCTGAAAGCGATAGATTCTTTGTACATCAAGCAAACATTGAAGAAGAAAGAACAAAAATGAAAGGAATCAAATGCATCGTTTGTCATCCATCGAAATTTAAAAAAAAGAAAATCATGAGTACAATTTGTAAATGTTGCTCTCGTTGTTCTCCTTTTAGTTGCCAAGCTTTTTTCACATATAATAAGTGGATCATGTAGGTGCAGTAGGCAGCTAGCTGAGAAGGAGGATTAGGAAGCCACACCACGCAGATGTTTTGTTTGCTCCATTCGTTGGCATCAACAAGATTCAAAAACAAACTGTGCAATAAAAGAAAGATATTATTCATTCATTGCATTGAACAATATTAGAAAATATATTACTGACCATAGGCAGCGCACTAGCTGTGCAAGGGGAAGTAATAGAAGGTGGGTGGGTGTGGGTGTGAGTGAAGAGAAGATCCATACCCCCCACGCATACGCACAGGTTCACTCACCCACACCCAAAATTATGGCTTGGCTTATAGTAATGTTTCGTAAGTCAGTTTTAGCATACGATACTGTTTCTCTTACGCTCTAACACGCATCACATTTACTTGTTGACTTGCAAAAAGAAATCCGTCGCAGAAGTGTTTTGTGAGGATGGATGTGGGTGTGGGTGAGAAAACAACCGCACGCACACCCTCATTCACACCCCACACCCACACCCAACTCGATAGCTATTAATATTGGTGAGTTATTATTAAAACACCGTGGCATATATCTATCGTATATCCATGAGGTGGACGTATGATCATGAACACATTTGGTACAAGTAATTAATCAATTTAAAATATCCTATCTAAGTCAGTTTTTCAAGCTGAACATGAATCTGAAGTCAATTTTTGTGATTTCTGTAGAAATTGTATGACTTTGTGGGGTAGGGTCAATGGTGACTAGATAGGGTAGGGCAGTGTGGTCCATGCTAATTTGGCCCTCCAGTTTTTTGTCTTGACATTTTAATGTCAAAAGATGTATCTTGACAAGATCCATGTCTGATAAAAAAAAGAAGTTTGGGACCGCTTGCACCACTCAAGAAAAATCAAAAATACTGCTATCTCAGAATGTAGGATTTCTTGAGATTTGGAAGGTTTTTGATGTATAGCGTTTCTTTTATCCTAGATATGAATCATTAAAATTGGATAAATTTGTAGCTTATACCGTCCCCTATCTAATGAGAGGTGCCCGATCTCAAACGGTCAAACCATTCATGAGAAAATGTCAAAATACTGAGCACACTCATTTTTAGCGGATTTTTAGAGTCAAAATAGGCTTCCTTAAACTTGTTTTAGCTCGCATTTTTCATAGATAAAACCAAATGGCCTAATATTTTGGATATAACTATACTTTGCCTAGGCCTATCATTTAAGAAAATAAAATCGAAAAAAAAAATTTTTTTTCCCCGACGACCTAGTGTGGTCCTCTCGCAGACCCTCTCTTATGTGTGTTTCTTGATCTTGTACAATTCTATTTATTTATTGATTAATGGTTTTTCTTGATTCTGTACAATAAAGAGTAAAACTTTTATGTAAAAATTCTTAATTAGTACACTGCAACAGAGTTTAAAAGTAGCTTTATATGACAAATATACTTTCTGCTTCTTTTTCTGCTCTTCGATGATAAAATTTCTGTCATTTTCTGCTTTTCAGACTTCAAAAGGTGGCAACGCTGTTTGTGTCAGTGAGTGTGCTTGACAATTAATCATCATCTAAAGTAGTTTTATCTCAAATGACAGCATGTTTCTAATTTCTGTTTGTTGAACACAAATAATTGTAAAAGCACTAATGAAAAATTGTGTTAACAATGAATATAATCAGCTGAATGGTATTTTTTAGAAAATCACCATCAATAGTCTTCACGGCAAATATTTTCTATGTCGCCTTTCAATCAACAAATATTTTGTTTATCAAAAAAATCATTTTGAAGTAAATCTTTCTTGATTTGCTTAGTTTTTGTTCACTGTTTTTCATGAAAAAGAAAGATGTCAACGATCAATATAATTCTTGGAAATAAGACATTCTTTCTCTTCTTACAAATTACCTCATACATTTCAATCAATACGATTGTGATGCATTAAACATATTTTGAAAAGAATTACCCATATAATTGTAGCCGAACAAATAGTTGCATAGAGAAAAATTCTGATGAAATCAAAAAATCTATTCACAATATTTCATACTCGTAGATGATCATCAAAATGAATATTTAATTTTCTCAATCTTTTAGAAGATCTTTTTTCTACAATAGTGTTAGAAATGAATAGAAAATGAGCCAGCAGGCCACTTATATCAAAAGACTAATTGTGGATTATTTGAGTTTTAGAGATACAGGAAAAGAGACGCTTGAATTACATTAAATAAAATCATATTTGACTAGATACTAATAATGCTATTTTTATCTGAAAGAATTTGATGAAAGTGTTGACCTTCATGAACCAGCTGTTGTTGATATATCTGTGAGTGCTCCTAGCAGATACTGAAATTAGATTTTCTTTGAAGATGTCATAGAGACGATAGAGAAGAAGAGAGTGCAAAACCATAAAGTGATAGTGCATTTGAATTATTTTATTACGATTGAAGCAGAATCGTGTAAGAGCTTAGTCAATTTTACAAAAAAATATGATGTCAGTCTTTGAAGTAGCTCTTCAAATCAGATTTTGGAATCCAATTATTTTATTTTCAATCGGAGTTCCAGCAGCATTACTCAATGTAATAATATTCGTTAGCGTAAAAGCATTTCGTCGATCTCCATCGACTTATTATATTGTGGGGCAATCATTATCCGATGTGAATGTCTTATTGATTCTGCTTCTTCAAATAGTTCCATCCACGTCATCATCAGTTTCATCCATTGCTTGTAAGTTAATGTTGTTTTTTCTTCAACTGACAGTTTCTGTTGCGATGAGTTTTCTTTGTTTATCTGCATTTGATCGTTGGGCATGTACATCTCAATCGGTTCGAATACGTCAATTGAGTTCGATTCGCGTAGCTCAGCGTGTCTTTCCTATTCCGTTTATTCTTTGGTCACTTGTGAATATTCCTGTTCTGGTGTATTGTGATCTTGTACCACCAACATTTGCATGTTGGTTCACAAATGATCTCTTTATGCGAATAGGAACTCTTTTTTTGTCTCCAATTCTCACTGTTCTTCTTCCTTTGATTGTTCTTATACTGTGTGGACTGTTGACATATCGTAACATTCGTCGTGTAACCCATGTTCGTCAACAACCAAATCAAAATCGTCTATCAAACTGGGAACAACAAATGACAAGAATGATGTTAACTCAAACTCTTCTAAATATATTTTGTACACTTCCTCGAGCTATTTTCGTCATCTATACGATCTTTACAATTGATGAGAGTGCAACGAGAACGTTCGATCAATTGTCTATTATACTTCTCGTCGATAGCATTACTGTCTCTATTATATCTGTGAATTTCGGCTCATCATTTTACATATTCCTTCTTTCATCACCACGTTTACGACAAATGATTCAAATGTATTTGAAACGTCTATTTAATCTGCGACATAATCAAGTAGATCCAACAAATATGTTACTCACAGCACCAGTATTTACTGTTCGTCAAACTACAAAAGTCATTGGTCACCCGACAGTTGAAAATGAACCATTTTGACGATCATCTATAGCAATAGTCATTGCTCAAGATACTTTTCTTTTTGAAAAATTTCATCTCTTTAAATCCTAAATAAAATTTTCTCAAACATAGAGATACATTTTATTTTATATGATGTCAAAATTTTTGTTTAATTTGAATAAAATGACATAAAACAATCATTGTCCTACACCATTGTCTACTGATTGTGCAAGCTAGAAGATGATGAATGAAAACGACATTATTGTTTCAATCATTATGTAGAATGAGTTTTCTGCACAACACACAAAATAAGATTGAAGAACATGCCAACAATATATCATTAATACGGTTTTTTTTTCTTTTCAAATTTTATGAGTACTCGATATTTTGATGATTAAATAATCAATTTTAAGAACAATTATCAATAGTAAAATAGAATTGATGCTAGTAGAATGCAAAAGAAAAATATTTTCGACATTGAGAATGACTTTTGAAAATTTTCGTTTTATGGTCGAATCGGTGAACACATGTCATATTTATAAACCATTGTCGATTATATTAATTGCAAGCATGTAACTTTGCATAATTCCAATCATCTGGGTAGTAACATTTCGAACCACTATGAAGAGACATTGGGGAAATTATATCGACCAGTTTCCATTCGCTTTTTAAGGTCGTATGCGTCATTGCTAATGAATTCCAAGAATTTCTGAACCATCAGCCTTGACAAACCTGATTTTTCTGGGAGTAGGTGTCCACTTCAACCACACTTTCTAGTTCTTTCGCTTTGAGTAAAATAATGCAACTTGATACATTTGATTGCCAATAGCCTGGATGCCTACAGCAAAGAGAAAATCCCGTTATATTTTATTCTGTTTAGATAACTAAAACGAGCATTCACTAAACTGTTCGACAATAGTTCATTGTATCAGACAGTGTCGATATAGAAAGTAATGTCACGCAAGAAAGTACTTATTTTCCAATATTATGCAATACATTCTATGTTGTTGTTCTATGAAAATTCATCAGAGAACCCAAAGTTCATTGCATAAAAATTTTTGTTTGCTACGAATGATTTTTATCATAGTAACCAGAAAACTGTCGAGAACTTTCATGTGTTGTACGTAGATGATCTTTTGATGATATGTCACACAATTGAAGACTTAAGAATTTTCATTCGAATTCAAAACAATATGTCGTATCAATATGAGCATGTTATTTCAATTGAAACAAAATGAAGAGTTGTTCGCACTTGTATTGTCTCAGCTTAAGTGTTTACAAGTGAAATTTTACCATTTACGATCGCTTATAAGCAGAGAAGCAGTAGTTTCTACATGAAATAGTTACAAATAAACCTTTGCATTAGTTTGAGTGGTATAATCCTTAACTGAAATCTATGAGTTAACTACAAAGTCAACCATGCATAGAAAATATAATACGGAAGAAATAGATTGAGATTATTGTGACTTCTTAACTGAATGAAAAGTGTAGATAATGGTTCAGAATTTGTTTAAAAAAATTACGTTTTTGTAAGTTTCAGAACCTAAGCAGTCTACGTATATTGGCATGAGAAAATGTTGAGAAACTAAGATTAAGAATAATATGGACAAATTATGTAATCTTTAAAAAGCAAATCATTTTTTATTTCTATGTTGCAATATCAATGTTAGGATGAGGTGTGGGTGATTTGTTAATCCACATCTAAAATATTTGTTAAAATGTTTCTTTCATTGTCATAGAATAAAAAATAAACAAATTAAAAAATCATTTCGTTCAATAGGAAAGATCTTTCAAAGTCTGAAGTTTTTAAATAAAGAATTTTATCGAAACTAATTCGTAGTCAATTCAAAATAAGATGGTTAGAGAATATAGGTGTTTTTAATTGTGCTAGTCTCATGTTTCAAGTCACATTTTCAAATACAACTTGGTGATTGCTTAAGAAAAATGTGTAATGCAAGATTATATGTTCTTTAACAACAATAGAATTATTTTGATTTTATATTAAACAATAACATTGAATAAATACCATTCTTCTTATTTTTTTCTGGCAATTGCAGGTATTCACCTCAGAAAATTGTTCATTTATAGTTATCAAGGATGTGAGTGTGTCTTTTCACCCACACCCTGATCTATCAGTTATTAAACGATCAAAACATATATCATATAATCATGTTGGACAAAAAACGTGTTGTAGATTTAAATAAAATCTTACGAGCATTTGCTACTGACCGTATTGGTTCAGATGAAATTAGTGATATATTAGTGAGAAAAAATTTTCAATTAATAAATTTTAGCTATTGTTAAAAATTTTAATTTATTTTAGATTATTGTTCTAGTTGACTTAAATCGTATTGAAATTTTCTGATGGTCATCTAAACAAGAAGCAAATATTATTGAAGATCTATTAAAGACAGCTGATGAAGATTTAAGGTAAATCTATTTAATTTATCATAAAATTTTTATATGTGATATCAATTTAAAACAGTTATTCGTCATGTACAATTATTACCTAGTTTACCACGAGTCATGATAATTTACATGTTGAACATGATCAAATCAATTATTTACTGGATACAGCTAATGAAGGATCATCAAATGAGACTTCGGTTAGTACTAATTCTACAGAACGTAATGATTTGCATGATAGTGATCGTACAGTTATTCTACGAAAATTATCTAATCAAATATCCATTGATGAAGTTAATAATAACAATAATGAAATACAAACTGATATAAATCAATTAACATATGAAGATATTTGCGTTAACGAAAGGAATAAAACATGTACAAGAACAACGTAGTGCTATATATGGTATAATGGTTATTGAAAAAGAAAGACAAAATCAAGAACATTTTTCATTAAATCAAACTATAGATGTTGAATTTGAAGAACAGAAAAAAAAAAACGAGAAGAAATCAGAACAAAAATGAATGTGTTTATCAAAGATTGTCTGTAATGATTATCGATTTTGTTTATCTAACAAATAAATACCTTCATCCTATGTGCAATTCAGTTTACATATGTCGGATAATAATTTTTACATCATCAATTCTTTTTGTTTTTATTAAGACTAGTTCAAGTGAGTGATATAACCCAAAGAAATTCAATTCTTTCTGAAAACATTAAAATATATCTGAAAAATTTGAATATTCTACTAGTGTTTATGTGAAGTTTACGAGATGCGTATATCTTCTTAGAATTTTGTTTTTCTAGTTACGTTACTCGACTAAATTTTATTCATCGTTAATGAATGATTGCATCATGAATTTGATTACAAACAAGTTTCAATATCAATATTCCAGTATCATCTGTGTATTTCGTTGAAAATTTCAATTCTTATTGTAAAAACTAGTTGCATACGTCATTACTTGCTTAGTCCAAATAAAAATGCACATTCAATACCTAGACTCATACTCATCCACAATTTTTTAAGGTATCAAATGAGTAAAGGAAAAAGTAAGAATGACAATGGCATCTTGAGTGATGCATTTTTCTTTCTTGTTTAGTGGTAGAAGAAAAAAGAGTTACGCATGATCGAATTCACATCGACGTTTCATTAACGAAACGTCAATGTAAATAATATTATCTGTATTAATATAAATAACAACATGCAATTCAATTATTTCTATCATTTCATTAGTCTAGTAGCGGGAGAAATATGATTTAGAGAAAAAAAGAATCAACAAAAATTAATCATTTAAAAAAAGCCAACCGGTCGATCGGTTTTAGCTCGGTTCTACTCCGCAGAACTCGGCTCCACAAATTAATCTGTCTTTCTATTTCTACTGCCGACAGTGAATTTGAAGCATTTGATATTGATTTGACGATACATTCAATAATAGATTGAGATAAAAAGTATCAGAAAAGACACTAGAAGTGTATTCATCGATCGAGAAAATTAAGAAAAAGACAAATTTTTGAATATACAAAGAAAGGGTGGGTGTGAGTTGTACTTAAAGAGAACACTAACATCCATACCCCAAACCGACGTATTTCATCAAAAGTTTTTCGTTGTATAATATTCATTTCACTAGAGCGGTCTATCACTTAAATTATACTTGTCTATAGATAATTTGACTTTCTTTACAACTTTCACGCGAAAAGAAGCACTAACTTTGGAGTACTTTGGAAAAAAATAGATTTCTTCAACTGTTAGAAAGGTATACAGCTGTTATTATTTGATATTTTCATTGATTGTTTCTGAAAGATAAAATGGAATATATAAAAACTCGATCATTCAGTCGAGGATTCAGCGAGTCAAAGCGACGAGCGTTACTGGTGATTACTGGTTGAGAATAGAAAAGAAATATGAATATGTTCTGTTTTATTTATGCCAGACTGTTCGAAAAAGACAAAGACTTCAATCATCGTCTGCTTGTTTTTTCTCCATTGATATCACTCACAGTAATTTGTGGCAATTGTTTTTTCACCTTTATATCTTTTTTTTTCAGCTTGTTTTCAATCAAGCTATCAAAACTGTCTGACTTCAATGAGAACTACAGTTTTTTTACAATCTCTAATAAGCAGAAAGAAAGTATAAAGATGATCGACGAAGTTTGTTTGCTTACCTTCGATAATTGACTATTTTGAAGATGTATTATTCATTTTCTTCCTTCATGTCTAAACAATTGTGTATTTGAATGTTATAGAAACAATTTCTTTTTTTTTCATATTTTGCTTACTCTGTAAATACCATCAACCAACCTGTCGACATTATTTCATTCTTACTTTCGATTATTTTTCAACTAGAAACCGATCGAGCAGTCAAAGTTATGGGTAATGAGACATCCAGAAATGAAGGGACACCACAACTCACTGAGAAAGGTTCATTATTTGGATGTCTCATTTGTACTAGTCTGACAAAATTGTTTTGTTATTAGAAATAGCCCTGATCAAAGCTAGTACTAATCTCAGCGAGAAAGAAAGTGGTGGAATATTCATAAAGCTTTTGCCAATCAATGTCATTTTTCTCTCTAGAGATTTTTGGTTCACAATCCATCAGGCAAATTGGAGAAAGAAAAAGCCATCAAGATTGTTAACGAATTAGTGGGAGAGGAAATCAAAGACAATCCCCATGCATTCAAGTATGTCAATATAGTTTTCACATTTCATTGTAATTCTTTGTATTCTTTAAGTTTTGCATTTGATGCACTTGACAAAAATGGCAATGGGACAGTAGAATTCATTGAATATATGTTAGCTATTGCTGCCGTGCACTCAAATGATATGAACATTCGGCTCGAAGTTGCATTTGAACTGTAAGAATATTCGCAAGTGTATCAACCAGAGATGAGCACAGGACAGGACGGTCCTGGCGTCCTGGTGTCCTGCCCTGTCCTGTCCTGCAGGACAGGACGCGATTTTGATTTTTGTCCTGTCCTGCCGCCCGCCAGGACAGAGATTGCCAACAGGACAAAACAGGACAGGACGTGATTTTGATTTTTGTCCTGTCCTGCCGCCCGCCAGGACAAAGATAACGATTACAACAGGACGGAACAGGACAGAAAAATTTCTCGTGTGAATTTTCTCGTTCTTTTGTTATTTATATTTGTTAAACAACTATCACTTTCGACCGGTCACTTTTTAACAGTCGACGTATGTGGTGATTGATAGGTATCGCTATGAGGATGAATCATAACACTAATTAAAATATTGGTTGAAAAAAAAGCGCCAATTAGATGTAGTCATTGATGATTCAGAAATTTTACGTTAGAATATGAAGAGAAAGCAACACCAAACAAATGTTCTTTGTTCTTTTCGTCTTGAACGTTTTTTATTTTACTTTGTATTTCATTTGTTTCTATTTACTGACTCTCAAAATAAATATTCAGCATGGGGTTTAGTAAAGTTTCATCATCGTCGAACATATTATATTTCTCAAAATTGAACAATTACCTAAATACGAAACAGAAATATAATATTACAAAAAAGAATTCTCAACAGCATTAATAAATTTGTCAAAATTCTTTGGTTATTCAGGAAAAATAACTAAATATAGCGTATTTCAAAGAATGATAGGATATATTATTTTTTTTTTTTAATCTTTATAGTATACGTTCATTCATTCATGAAAATAGCTGTTTTTTTGTGATAATAGTCTATGCTGTTGCTACTTTTCATAGACAGTATCTAGTATAAAATAAAATAATTATATTACAACGAATCATGGTCATTGTTTTCTATTTTTTTTCTTGTCATGAATGTGTCAGCAAGATAAAAAATTAATATTTTACTATATTTTATTCTACTTATCAAATAAGTGATGATATATAATGTATTTCCAGTATTTGAGAATAGTAAAGAATAAATTAGGTATAATATGAATGATATCAATATTTGCTTTGATAAACGACAGGGACGTGCCCAAATAAAAAAGGGTACGGGTATCCTAAGTATACACCCCTGCACTCTTCCTCAGGATAAAGTTCTTACATTAAGATTTCAAAACAAACGTTCTAGCACAGTTTCACTATAGCAAAGCAGTACTTTTCAAAATTTGAGGGCGTGGGCCCTCCTTATTCCTTATCAGCACAGTCCTGATCAACGATAGACAGATTAGGAAATCGTGATCGACTCTCTGTCTCTCGAAAAAAATAAAATGAATTAGCAAAAAACACTAGGAAAAAGTTTTCATTATTCTCCTATCAGTGGGTGGAACGGAAAAAGTCAGCAGGACAAAGCAGGACAGGACAAAAACAGGACAGGACGCGGTTTTGATTTTTGTCCTGTCCTGCCGCCCGCCAGGACAGAGATTGTCAACAGGACAAAACAGGACAGGACGCGATTTTGATTTCTGTCCTGTACTGCCGCCCGCCAGGACAGAGCTGGCTAACAGGACAGGGCAGGACAGGACGAAAAATCTTGTCCTGTGCTCATCTCTGGTATCAACTTAATAGAGAGACTTCGATGGCTGACCCTTAGGAACGAAGAAACAACGTTTTGGGAAAGAGATCTGAGGAAAAACTCGTACATCAAAACAGCTTTTCACAATAGTTGATCTATTACTCGACGAACCGACATTTGTACATAAAAAGTCTAGAGCATGTCGTTGTTTGAGGGTTTTTTTTTTGGTAATTTTTTTCATGTTTAGAATCGATAGATCGCATGATCAGCACATTAGTTACAACGAACTGGTGTATTTTTTCAAAGACTTAGTAAGATATTCTACTATGTCTATTTCGTTGTTCTGGTGTTATATGAACTATTTCTTTTTTTAAAATAGAAATATTAAAAGACAAAGGAAAAGATGTGGATGGTTATGATCCAAAAAAGGCAGCTTCGAAGCTCTTTAGCACTTTTGGCGTTGACGAAGAAAAGAAGATTGCCAAGCAGCAATTTATCGAAGGGTATTTGTAGATGTTTATCTTCTCTGTCATCGATAATATGTTGTTTTAGATGTAAGAACGATCCAAAACTTGTTACAGCATTGATATGGAATCCATTCAATTGAGAAAGCTGAACTTTCCTCTATAACATCTCCTATCATATATATGAACAGATTATCGAAATACTTTATTTTTTTTGTTTTCACATTAATCCTTCCGCGGTGATTCGATTTTCATATGTATTCACCCTCGATAAATACAACAATTCTTAGTCTCTTCAGTAATGTTTATTTGAATTGCAAGGAAAATTATGACATAGGGCACATAACCATGCTACAGTTTCGTGAAAGTCTTGTACAATCTTTACTTTTTGGTATGCCATTCGAGAAGCTGGAACCTGGTGCGAGGTAACCATCATCAAGCCATTCAAAGCCCAAACTAGCTGATTACAAGCTCGAAAAAAAACGAAAGGATCTGCATGTAATGCCCGCAGACACTGTGCTGTTTGCTACGAGAAAAGCTGGGAACAACAGTCAAGAGAAGCGAGTACGGCGATAGGAAAGAAAATAAAAACCTTCTGTTCTGGCTGACAAATTTTTTTTATCTTGATTATTTTAACGAGAAGCACCATGCTATGGAATAAAGGGTTCAAAAAATACCAAAGGCGGATTGGTGAACGATGAGCACGAGGAACGATGAGCACGGAAACTTAAGCACGGATACTTAAGCACAGGAACGATAAGCACGAGAATGATCAGCACGAGAACGATAAGCACGAGGAATGTTCAGCACGAGGAACGTTAAGCACGAGAACGTTGAGCACCGAAAAGTTCAGCACGAAAAATAATAAGGACTTGAGATATGGGTGTGGTGTATGTGAGTGGGTTTTCGAGAGCTATGGGAGCACGCTTGTCTGAACTTACATAAGGACCTGGACCTTAACAAAAATAAAAATTTGAAGCGTGCGAGTATCAGTGTGCTTGTATATATGAATGTCAGGGTTGTAGAAACCATTAAATCCAAGAATTTCTGGACCCCAATTTGACCGACCGATTAAATTTTTTGGCACCTAGTCGATAAACGTTGTTCGAACCTAATCGATCACTATTGCTGAATTCGGGCCTAATTAACTAATCTTTTGTGAGTAGAGCCCATCGGACCCGAAAACATTTTTTCCGAACCCAGTACATTAAATGTTCAGAACAGGACTAAGTGGAGTCTGTGTAGGTATAGATGAGCTCTAGTGGATGTATGTGGGGGGGTGGGAGGGGGTAAACGTGTGATTGTGAATGTGTTGTAGATGGCACAGAATCCGAGATGAGCGGAACCAATCGTTTTTGGTCTCGAACCCTGCGGGATCGGGTCGAGGACCATGTTGTCCACGTCTACACAGAAGATCAGAATCACACCAACGCACAACACCACACCAACACTTACATCCACGCCTTTAAGTTTGTTTCGTGCTGAACTTTTTGTTGCTCAACATTCCCGTGCTTAACGTTCCTCGTGCTGAACATTGCTCGTGCTTATCGTTCCCGTGCTGATCATTCTCGTGCTTATCGTTCCTGTGCTTAAGTATCCGTGCTTAAGTTTCCGTGCTCATCGTTCCTCGTGCTCATCGTTCCGGTTCCCACCAAAGGCTGAGTAGATAATAAATTGGGTGGGTGTGAGTGTTCAGAAGACAAAAAAAAGGCACAATCACAGTCCATACCTCACATTCTTTATTCAACAGTGAACTTAAATATAACATTCGAATCAAGTAACCGTATTTTATTGAATAAAAATTATTTTCAATATTCAACATATCCAATGATTACATTGCTTGATTATTATTAGCATACATTATGCTCCATTGTTGATTGTTACTGTTTGATCATTTTCTTCTAAAACAAGAAAAACATACAGATTCGATCGATGAATAATATATAAAACTTACTTGATAATGGATTTTCAAATGAAACACGAGGTGCAATGGATGTTCTTGCCCAAGGTTGTAGTTCACCTGATCCGAGAAATGTAAATGCAATCATTCCAATAATGTAAATTGCAACACAAATAAAAAATATAATACGCCAATTATTTGGATCCTAAAACGATCAAAATCTATACATTATCAATATTTTAAGAGAATTAAACTAACTTTTTCTGTAAGAGCACCAACTACATACGGACTAATAATACCAGGTATTGTTGCTAATGTATTAGAAATACCAAAGACTATTCCTGTATATGCTGGTGCAATATCATTTGCAACGAGTAAATATCCTCCGCCAAAACAGCAACCTCTGGAAGTATAAAGATTATTTTTCTTACAAAAGTAAAAACATGTACTTACTGAAATGCAACACCGATTGTTAATAATACGACAGCAACATATTTTAATTGACATGTCATAAATGCTAAACCAAGCACAAATATTGCTGGTACAAGATTTCCAAGTATATTAAATAATTTTCTTGTATTTGTTGTTGTTAACAAATTTTTACGAATAATTACATCAGCTATAAAACCTGATATATTAATATTCAACCATAAGACAATATAAGGTACAGATGAAAGAAGTCCATTCTAAATTTTAAAACTAAATTAAATAAATTGATAATATATTTTTACATACCGATGTAATATTAAATTTAAGAACTTCATTCATATATTTAGGAGTAGAAGTTAGAAACGTATAAGTACCCCAATTACTACAGGTATGAACAATAAATAATGCCCAACAAGCTCGTGATGTAAGAATAGCTCGCCATGGAGCATGAAATTCAATTTTAGTACTATCAGATAATTGTTGATTAGTATGTTGAAGAATATATTCTTTTTCTTGTATACTAATAAATCGATGATTTCGTGGTGAATTTGTATAGAATAAAATCCAAATAATACCCCAAATAAAACCAAGAACAGCTAATATATTTTTTTAGTAGAATAATATCGTATTTAAATCAAACATTAATATCTACCTGCTGAATAAAATATGAATGGCCAACCACCAGCAATATGCCATGAACACATCAATCCACCAATCGATAAAGCAAATGCATTTCCAGCTTGTGCACCTATCAATACAATGAAAGTAACAATTTAAATTATAGATAAAAATAAAATAAAAATTACCAGCATTCATAAAACCCATCAGTTTTCCACGTTCATGTATTGGTGCCCAATGAGCCATGATTACAGTCATACATGGCCAAATAGTTCCATGTGCAAGTCCAACTAATAATCGAAGAATACAAAATAATATCCAATGTACATGTGCAACTAATGGCATGAACACAGTAACTAAACTTGATACAATCATTGCTCCACCAAATAGATATCTAGGACCAAATCGGCCAGCTAAATATCCAGCTGGTATTTGAGTTATAATATAACCCCAAAAATAAGCACCTAAGATGATACCTTGTATAGTTTTTGTCCAAATAAAAGGACCTTCCTATAATGAACAGAAGTGAATAAATAAATAAATATTTTATGTAATTTATCTACAATATGATTTGTACTATTTGTTTGAGGACAATTATCATCTGTATGTGTAATTAGTGTAGTAGTAGGAGGAGGAGAATTTAATTTGTTTTGTTCAATTGCTGAATGATTAACCATGCAGACAAGAGCAATACCAACATTCACTTTTTGTGAAAAATGTGCTATCATTCCAAAAAATCCAAGTACTGTGATAGCAATACGTATCAAACGCCAAAAAGGTACTATTGGCAAGAGAATTAGTCTGTTTTTTTAATTGTATTTAATGATAAGGATTGAAACTTACCGGATGATTTTGAATTTGTTTTATCCATCGATTTATTTTTATTAATAAACTTAGATCTACAAATCTGTAATATAAGCACATTTTATTATATAAAAACAAGAATCATTGAAACTTTGCACTGACTAAAAGAGTATAAAGAGTATTGTTGTTTTTTCTTGTTCTTGTAATATTATCTTTACCATAAGATGATAAAGAAACAATGATTATGTATTTTTCTTTTATCATACACAGTTCTCTTTCTTTCATGAATAACAGTATATGATCATGTGTTGAATATATGAGATAAATTTTGTCGATATATTGCTTGTCTTTTCAACGTGAAACGATGACAAAAACCGAGAGAATTATAAAATATACGAATAAAGATACAATGTATTTGTAAGTCTTTTATGCTTTTGATCACTAGATCTGCAATATTATGTACACTCTCTATAGGAATAATAGTTTTTATCAAAGTATACATTACATTTTTTCAAATTAAAATAATTTGTAAATAGAAAATAGAAATTGAACGCACAAAAAATCTTCGACTTGACATGATGAGACTTAATTATGTAATTACTTTTGGACTCACATCGATTAAAATTCACTTCATATGAACGTTCTGTTCCTTACCAAAGTAATATGCTACCTATTTTGGTAGTGACTCTAGCGAATGACCAGCAGAGCAATGCTTTAACGATCAATTGTCATTGTATAAAAGACGATAGCCATCTTCGATTATGTCTTTAATTTCATATAGCATTTGTCAATATAAAAAAATGTTATATCTTCCAGTCTTGGGTATGGGTGGAAGAAAAAATACGATTCATATACATAATCTATTTATTTTCTAACATTATTGTTCATAAATTCCACCTTTGAAACAGAAATGGACAAGTCAGCGATTTTTCGATACAAGTCAAGTCAAAAAAATGATCCGACTTGACTTAATTAAAATCCTTTTTTGCGCCTCGACTTGCTCATCTCCGCTTTGAAACCAGAAGAAGTGTATTTTAGACAACAAATTCTTCATATAACCAATGGTAAAACTAAAATACACTCGAAAAAATATGCCTGGTACAAGGCATGCTTACAATATCTTCAACTCGATTTGATAATGCAGAAATCGATGTTCAAGAATATCTACAAGATCTGTCTTTCTTTGTCCGAAAAGGTATGAAAAATGAAAAGTAAATTCATTCTTGTGTGTTCATTTTCTATTTTTTCAGCACTCTTGAACCAAAATATAACAATTTTTTTATCTGTTTTTATTATTTTTCCGGTCAATGACAATACAAAAATAAATATCTTCTTCCATTTGATAGATATAAAAGTAGTAGATAATTCAATAACGGAGACTTTTCGTAAATCTCAGCCAATATCTCACATTTTCAACATTTTACTCTTCGACGTTTTTCCTTCGATATTTTGCTGTTCGACATTTTGATTTTCGATGTTTTGCCACTTTACCAGAATTATGAAGAAGTGCATAAATATGCCTTTCTCCCTTGTTTTTATATTGATGAATTTTTTTTTTGAATAGAATTCGAATTTTGACGTTTTTATTAAAAATAAGAGTTATCTACACATTTGTATTACTACTTTCATCTCATGGTTATAACAAGAATAATATTTTGTATAAAATCAAAAGTTTATTATATTGTCTTTGATTTATCATTATGGATTAGGACGTAACAAAGCTTATGATGTTTCACTACTGTTGGAAAAGAATTAGGATACACTCTTTTTTTTCTTCATTGAACAAGCGATATTTTTTGTACGTTCTATTTTGATTTTTTCAAATTCATCAAGAATATGTTGGCATACTTTTGGATGAAAACCCGATCTAATTGCTGCTATCTTGGCCGCTGATGATATTTCTTCATTGTCGTCTGTTTGTAATTGTTCATTGTCTTGAGTCGATGATGCTGTATTAAATAATTTTGTTGAAATAAGTCTTCCTTCGTTTCTATAAGTTTTTACTGTCTTTTTTACACTGGCATAAGTACCTCGACTAAGCCAAGTCACTGATGAAAGTGTGCCAACTGCAGGCTTCATAGCTATATTGACTGTTGCTATTAATGATCCAGCGGCACCACCTAATGCTCCATGTCGTTGATAACCAATACGGGGCTGTTTTACAACACCAGTAATTCCATCTTTCCAGCCATTCCTTAAGGCTAGACCAGCAGCCTTTGCACCCGACTTGAAGTCAGTGACTTTTGGTCGTGGACGTGCATTTGGATCACTACAACGAATTTAACACTATTTTTCGTTTCCATATATGACAATTATTACAAAGAATCTTACCTATAAGGATCATAAATAGAAGTAAAATGATCGAGTACATCGGTCATTTCACCATATAATGACAGACATCCAATCGTCAGATGACCTACACCTAGACCAACACCTTTTGCAACACTTCCGATATCTTCCAATGTCAACGTTTCCTTAGTTGTACTATTATTATTAGCAGCACGTTTTTTTAAATCAGCAGCAACATTAGTAAACATACTTGAAAAAGCTTTTTGTGAATGCTCAATAATACCTTGAGTAGGTAAATGCATACGATTATCATACATAAATTGCCATATTCGTGTGGCATGACGACGAAGTTCTGATTCTTCTAAAACGCCTGCAGCTACAAGTACTTGAGCTACTGGTCGTGATACTTGTAAATCAAACTCATCAATACGATAACAAGCAGCAAATGTTGGTTCTAAATCACTATAAATTCGTGTTAAAGGTAAATTAGCATGAAATGCATGTACTGCTGCTGCACATCCATCTTCTTTCAAAATAGCATCACGAATACGTTCTGCAGCAGCACATGTCGTTGGTTTTTGAACAAAATGAAATGCTTCAATCAATTGTTCCACACTAATTGATTTTCCAGGCAATGGACGTGGACCAGCGCCACTCTTTGCAATTACTTTACCCCAAAAAAACTGATCACCAAAAAATGGTACAATAATTGTTGGTTTTCCAGCACGTAGACCAGCTGCTGTTGTACCTGCTCCACCATGATGACATACAGCTGAGACTATAAAGAAGATACGAGACTGATAATAGGTCTAATGATAATGAAAAACTACACTTACCATACTGAAAAAGCCAGTCATGTGGTACATTACCAATTTTGAATATATTAGAAGGTAAATGATCTGCATCTGTGGCAAGACCAGATAATAGTGCTCGATATCCAGTTCGATTAAGAGCATCAACAACAATTTCAAGAATACGACGAGAATCATGACCAGTAATTGAACCAAATCCGATATAGATTGGTGGTGATAATTTACGATCTTTAGGATTTCCATCATTATTGATATCAAGAAAATCCAGTAGATCTACTGGTGGATTAGTATAAGTGATACCAAGATTGAGAAAGAAAAAGCCAGAAACATCAATATGTGATCCCCAATCATTAGGTTTTGTAACAAGCGATGGTGACCAACAATAAGTATTTGGTACACGTTCATCAATTAATGCATTTATTGCTTGACGTGTATTTAATTCTCTCAAACCTAATATTTTCTTACGAAAATTATTCACAATATCACCCATACCAGTCCATGTCTTACAAATAAAAAACAATCAAGAAATCAAAAAAAATTATTTATCTCTTTCATTCACCTACCAACATTTCAATAACATCATACGAATATAAATTAATCTTGTCCTTTGGTCTAATTGAACTGTGAATATGTGATAATGGATGTGGAAAAGCAGTTGTTGGTGACCATGGCATAGTAAACATAATATGTAAAGGAATTTCTAATTTTTCTGCACAATGTATATGACCAAATGATGGTGGATTTGCAATGATTGCTTCAGCTATAAATGGTGCTTTTGTTTCATCATCATCGGCTATACATGCTTGCCATGTTGATGCAAGAATATCAGTAAGAGAACGACGTTGTTTTTCTATATCACCTTCGATAATACTATTCATAGAAGGAATCATTCCAGCATTCTTTACCATAAATGACATTAAATCAGCTGGATCACCAGCTAATGGATAAAATTCTAAACCATTACCACGAACGAATGATCGAAATGTTTCATGTGTTGCTAATCGTACACGATGGCCAGCTGCACGAAGTGCTTGACCAAGACTTTTAAAAAAAAAAAAAGTATAAAATCGAATCTTTGGCAAGTAACGAGTGGGACAAAAGTTTTGTATTAATTTTTTTTTTGATATAACTCTGCAACGCAATGTCATGGAGACTTGATTTTTTTTTGTTAGAAAGAGCAAAGTGTCTTGTGCAAGAATATATAAGAGTTTGATTGGGAAACTCTTCCGCAACTTTTTTGAACTTAGAAAAAAATTCCTATGAATTAGACAGGTTACCTTTTTATTCGTCTAATCCGGATTTTATAATATAAGGATAGAGCACTATTGCGTTACAAAAAAAGAAATTTTCTACATGTTTTATAACGGTCGAAATGGACGCTTTTATGATATCGTCTGTGTCATCAATTTTTCATCATTGTTGGTAGCAATCGAAAAAAATAAACTCTATTTCGCAGGAGAGATTGCTAGAAACTATATATTTTATATGAAAAAGAAAGTTTATTGAGTCCTCTACCAAACGATATTATTTGGAATAGGCCGCAACTTCTCTATGAGATATTCAGAAAAAAAAACCTTATTTTCACGCTTCAAAACCAAATTTGAACAATTAATTTGTTTTTATCAACATGTCTTTTGTTCATTCTCTTGTATGTTATACCAATTATTTTAATACCAAATGAAAACCTCCGTTGTAATGAACAACTGTATATATATATATGATGCTCGAGGGTATCGAAAGTGGCTAATGAAAAAGGTTCAAACAAATATTTTTGGATTAAAAAAAATGTGACCAAAGTTGTGGAAGAGTTTTTCGGAGTCTTGCTTTCTAAAACTATTGTGGCCTTCGAAAAACATTACCAATCAAATTCTTTTATATATTTTTGCACTAGACACTTTACTCTTTCTAACAAAAAAAAAATCAAGTCTGTACGACATTGCGTTGCAGTGTTATATCAAAAACAAAATTAATGCAAAAACTTTTGCCCCACCCATTAGGAAAAAAAAGTTATTGAACTCACGCAATAAATGGTTGAACATCACCTCTTGTACCAACGATAAGTATAACAATAGCTAGACGAGGTATAAGACGATCATCATCGAAATTATTTTTATCTTCATTTGTTTGATTTTCATTGATTATCGATTGAGAAAGTGATTTTAATGATGTTGATATATCCTTTGATTTTCGATTTAGATTAAATATTATATCAATACGACCATCAGTATTATCAACACTAGCTGTATATTGAAGAATGTTATTTGGTTTTATATCTGAATCTTTAGAGTTTTCAAGAGTTTTTTCATCTATGATGACTTGTCCAGTAGCATAAGGAATTTCACCATGAATAAAAAGACAAGTATGAAGAGAAAGAGTTGTATTAATACAACAAATAACCAAGATATTGTTCTGGTTATTTTCATTATTTAATAATTTTGAAGGTAATTCAATGGGATTTTCTAATGATATTAGTGAGCCTGAAAAGATTTGTATATTATTAAACCATATAGTACCATTGATATTCGATTGTTTATCATGACTATCTGATGATTGAAAATTAAGGTAGAATTGTTGTTCATATTGTTGATTTAGTAATATCCAATCAAATCGTTTACGATACCACCATTTGCAAGGTTGTTTAACAGTATTGATAATATGTGGTAATTCTATAGAAGACCAATATTGATTTGTATTGATGTCATTGGCAGTAGAGACGATCGTTTTTTCATCAGTTTCATCATCTAATGGTTGACAATAACATTCCCAGTCGTTATCAATATTGATATTTGTCAGTTCTTTATGATTTGTTGTCATGATTTAGTAATCATAAAAGAAAAAAATACATAGCAGGACAATGACGACACTTATATACCTATCTTTCGATCAACCGTGAAAAAGACACTATTTTTTTCCCATTCAGTCATATCGTCTGATGAGTAATACTCTATAAGTCATTACTATCATTGCTTGTCGTTTTTGTTCGACGCTGATATTTTGAATGAGTCTTTTTTTTTTTGCTGTTCTGTTCTTTTTCCTTTTCAGTTCACATTTATCCAAACATTTGCATAGAAAAAGCAATATTGGATACTTGGTTGTTGTTCTAGTTGTGCTTACATTTAAATTATCTATGACATTTAATGATATTATTCATCGAAGATTTGTTTTCTAGGTAAGTTTTTAATGTTGACGATAGGTGAGGCCATTTTTCTTAAAGATGAGTCAAAATAAATGAATCATTATAATTAACGGTAATAAGTATGAATCGGTTTGAGAACGAAAATGTACAGGGTAGGTAAAAATATTTTTCCAAGGGGGGGGGGGGCATGCTGTGATTTTAAATAGAGTCTATAAATTTATTATGTTTGATATAAAAAGATTGACAGACTCGCTACTATTTAATTTTGATAAATCCCATTTTTGATGCCCTTTCATTTGACATACAGTTTGTCATTGACCTTATTTAAAATCACACCATTAATCCCGTGGAAAACCATTTTTATGCATCTTATTTCTAAAGATTTGCTGTGTTTGATATAAGGAGTTTTGCAGAACTCTTACCATTTAGTGCCGAAAAACCCTTTTTGACACCCTTTCATTTGTTATAAAATTTATTATTGACTCTATTTAAAATCATAACGTTATCCACCTGGAAAAATATTTTTACCCACCCTGTACTTATGATTCATTATTTATTTTGAAAAATATATGTCGTAGCTAACACAAGTCCAAATAGCTCATTAACATTTCTGTCAGTGTTTTTATTCTATTTGAAGTACTTATTATTGTATTCTTTCCTTTTCTTTTTTTGTTTCTTATAAAATATCTTAGATATGGATCTTTCTCATTCATATTTCAAATATTCTTTTAAGACACAATTCTTTTGATCTATTGTAAATACATCTTTCTTAGAAAGTCCTGAGTTCGAATCGCTAAACGGTTATCGTACTCGTTTTTGGCACAGTTTTCGATTACGATTCCAGTAACTTACCCTAACAACAAGATACAGATAATATCCTTTCGATTTCGATCCATTTTCGACACCGCGATTCAGTGACTGAACGTAACAAAACAATATGAAAATCTTTTTTTTTTACAATAACAACTTTAGAAGACGTGTCTTTTTAATAAGTAACTTCGACTTCGATCAAATATCAATTTTAAATCGATTAAAAATCCTTTTCAAAATACCAACTGTAACAAGTATCTTTCTCGAAGAAATGCGATGTTGTTGTTATTAAAATAACGACTTTATTTTCTATTGTTTGTTGTTCAATAAATAAAGTACAAGATGATAATTCTTGAAATAATTCAATAGATTCAATTTTGTTGCATTACGTATTAGTGTAGGAAGTTTTTCTTGTTCATCAAAAGTTACCAAACATATTCCACTACCTTTTGATGTCATAAATTTAACTTTTATGTACCCTTGCTCACACTCACCTACTCTCAATACTTCTTTCGGATACTTTGAGGCTTATATATTTTAATCGATCTGATATTTATTGTAATGTTGACGAAGCTTTTAGCAAATGAACATATAGTACGTAATGAAATATGTGAAGAAATGACCTTCACTCTACACCGATACTCATAATTTAGATCCTTTTTTTTTTCAAGAGAAAAAAAAAAGTTTCTTCATTTATGTTGGTATAAGCAAACTAGCAGATGCATACTTGAGAATCAATCACATAGGAAGTGCATGATTGACACTTACAATGAAACAAAATGAAAGAAAAGAGAAAAAAAAACAATTTGTTTTTATTCAATTCTTTTCATAAATCGTTAAGGTTTTGTTTGTATTATTTTTCTTAAAAGAACAATTGAGAAGCAAGTTAAATTTATGGCATCAAAAGGTAGTGGAATATGTTTGGTAGCTTTTGATGAACAAGAAAAACTTCCTGCATCAATACGTAATGCAACAATTGAACCTATTGAATTATTTCAAGAATTATCATCTTGTATTTCATTTATTGAACAACAAATAAAAGAAAATAAAGTCGTTATTTTAATAACAACAACTATAGAAGAAAATATATTACAAATATTTGAATCTCTTACAGTTATTGAAGCTATACTTATTTTATCAATAATAAATACAGATGTAGATACATTACCAAGTAAAGTCATTGGTGTTTATTCTCAAACGGAAATTTTATTACGATCACTTTCTGAAACACTTGATATAATAGAACAACGAATTAATGCTAACAGTATTATTTTTAATCATCATACAGATGGAACTGATAATTTAACTTTTTATTTTTATTATTTATGGAAAAATTATACTGAAAATCAAAAAAGTACAAAACAATCTCTTGTAGATCAAGCACGAATTATATTTCAATCAAATAATCAAATAAAATCTTTTATTCAACAATTTGAAACATCATATAAATCAAATGAAGTTTTTTCTTGGCTTGATAAACAACATCATCCATTTCCATTTCATCTTCTTATTTCAAATGCTCTTCGTTCTCATAATCAAGAATTATTATCATTTAGTCGTTTTTTTCTTGATGATCTTACAAAAAAAATGAAACCTTTATCAACAGGATCTAATTATAAACAAGTTTATTTTACTACTAAATTATCAATAAATTTTATCGATCAACTTGAACAAAAATTAAAAACAGATATTATTGCATTTCAATGTTTTCTTCCTGTAACATTTTCAAGAACTAATGCTTTAACTGAAGCTACACGACCATCTCGTCGTCAAAATATGAATAATGTTCTTTTTAAAATTAATATAACCGATAATATATTATGTGCAAATTTAGGTGAGATAATTCTTATTGATATGGCAACACCTTTTCAAATTGCATGTGTAACAAGAAGTGCTGTTACTACTAATGGTCAACAATTATTAACTATTATTAAATTAATAGCACTTAATAAAGATGATAGAGATAAATTATTTGAACAATTTATTCAACAACAAAAAAATTTAGGCAAAACAATAAATGATTTATTACAAAGATTAAATTCTGATATTAGGTTAGTTATTTGATAGTTGTCTTTTTTGTTTAATAAGTAATCATGACACAAGTAAAGATATGAAGTACTACTATTCATTATGATATTTGGCTGCATGCATGCGACAATAAACCTGAATCACAAGCATCGATTCGCACTCAATCGGTTAACATATATTGAACTCAGGGCTCTCGATGTGGGAGGAGGAGCTAGGGGGTGCTCCCCCCTCCCCACACAAATTGAAAATCTGTTTTACTGTCTGGCAAATTTTTAAATGGACGCTGTTCGGGAGATCTTCGCAAGCTATTTCCCCTGGCCCCGATCACGACTTTCTATGAAACACAGAAAGTGGCGCACTACTGCCCTCCCCCCCTCCCCCCGATCACCGGTTTTTATGAAAAACTAGGAAATTTTCGGTAGCTATTTTTGAAAAGCTTTCGTTAACAGACTGTCTGCGAAAGTTTATGGAAAGTGTCTGACCCCTCTTCCCCCCGCCTCTCCACTCTCAAAAACAATCGAGAGCCTTGACTGGAGTTATGATATGGAATGGATCTTTTCCATGATGATTTTGACCAATGTATTCGAAAGTGTCAGTAGAAAATTCCCATGAGACGATGAATCTCTTCTGAAAATTTTCAAGCCATAGCATTGTACGAAGCCGAGTTACTGCTACGATATTATCGAACTGTCTTTAGCGCTAGAAAACAAACACTAACAAAATGACAAACAAAATTTTTTTTTTTAGTGTATATTTCCACTGAATATGCTTTTCGCAAGAGAAACAAGATATGTGAATCGATGGAGAACGAGCTGACATTTGCGATCAGGCTTTATTATCACATGCATATACCGAAAATATCAGTAGTACTTCATGAAGAGCAACTACTTTTGTCTAAGACTGTATATTTAGCTGATTAGTCAGAGTAATTTTGTATAATACGTTTCACAACAATTCATAGTACATTATCACTACCCTTTTCAGAGCAATAGAGGAGCTATTGTTCTAACAGCACCATTAACTACTCTAATAGTGATTTGCATTCTGGATAAAACAGCATACGTAACGAAAGCATCACTTTCCATCGATCTTCGCGAAAATAAAACAGTTGCTACTGTTCTGATTATCCACTGCTACTGAATTTTGTGATAGAATTTTTCTACTAAAGTTTATTAGATGTTTTGTTTTTTTATTATGATCAATAATTGAAGTTAACCAAATTAATATTTCTCTTTAGTGATGATGAAGCTTTAGCAGATGAACATATAGCATGTAATGAATGGTCACAAGCAGCAAATATGTTTGCTCGTATAATTGATCCAAATGTTCGTGTTCTAAATAAATATGGATGTTTATTACGTGAACATTTAAATAATTTATCTGATGCATTGAAATGTCATCAACAAGCATTATTGAAAGCTACTAATCGAGAACACGCTGAAACCCTTATTTATTTAGGTTTAGTTCATAAAAATATGAAACAACATGATGAAGCATTTAAAGTTTATTCTCAAGCATTACAATGGTTTGAAAATGAAACAAAACGAGATTCAGTAATGATTGCTCGTTGTCTTATTGGTCTTGGTAATGCACAATGGGGACGTCGACAATTTACTGAAGCACTTGATTATACTGAACGTGCTTTAGCTATACGTGAACATGAAATTAAACCAAAAAATGATTTTGATATTGCTGCTTGTCTTGGTAATATGAGTAATATATTACATGATCAAGGTGATATTCAACATGCATTATCATATGCTACTCGTGCTGTTGATCTTTTGAGTATATGTGGAAAAGATGATCCTCGTCTTGCTGCTGCATTGAATAATTTAGGTGCAATCTACATAACTAATAGTGATTTAATTAAAGCACGAGAATATTTTGAACGCGCACTTGAATCTGTATCAAATGAAAATCATCCTTATAGAAAAAGTACATTAGCTAATATTGCTCGACTTGATACAATTGAAAAATCAAAAAAATAAACTTCTTTTTCTCATTTATAGAATATGTACTACGTAATAACTTTCCAACAGAGTAATACTACAATTTAAAATAATATAAACAATAAATTTTGTATTCGATGAAAGCTTGTTGAAAATAGATATAGAATTGGATACCGTTATGTTATAAAATTTTTCTTGCAACAAAATGAGAGTCACATTTGTATCGAACGATCGATAATCCGCTCAGATCTAAATATTTTGATCTCATATATATATATGTTGATCATTATTCGAGTTAACTTTTGCATTCTCTCGAACAAAATGAAAACAAAATGATTCAAGAAATGCAAAAAATTTATATAATTTATATGCATCAAATTTCATTAATATCATTTCAAAAAGTATTTCTATTGTTTGTCATAAACTTGAATGATTTGAAAGTTTTGAAATAAAATCATGTTAAAAATGCCATAAATACAATTGAAAAATATACATGCAAATGAAAGAAAATCTTTACCAATATATGTTGAAGTGTTTTTAAGAAAGATAGAATTTCTACAAGCATCATAGAAATTATGAATATCATACAAGTTATTTCAAGTATTACGCATTTTCATATTTCCATATCTTTAATGTTTTGGTGGATCGTATATTCACATTGTTTAAACTAGGCATCGTATTTGAAATAATTCTACTGTCAAAAGTTATCACAAACCTTTAAGATATGTCCATCGCAGCTGAAAGTCTACTACTACCGTGCTACTAAAACAGAAATGAATAGTGTCAAAGTTTAGTCTAACTTTATTTCTTTAATTTTCTTGAAAACACTCTAACAGACTATAGATGCAATCAAAACAAACAAGAAATACATCTTTGTATATGTAGATGTGTAGACGGTTAGGCATCAAAAGGATGAAGAAAAAGAGTAAAGAAAAAAGAGAAAACAAATCGAAAACAGTAATTATGTTATTGGTCAAAAATTTTCGTCGACACGACACTTCGTCGACACAGCACTTCATCGACAAGATACTGCGCCGAAAAACATTTCGTCGACACGACACTTCGCTGACAAAGCACTTCATCGATAAACTCAGATAGATATCTGCTCTTCGTCGAAAGTATTTTATTGGCTATGAAGAGCACTCCAAATGTCAAGGTGAGATAAGTGTGATGATGAGGGTAAGTAGCATGCAGGAGTACTCTAAATGTGAGAGTGAGAATGACGGTGAGGGTACGAGCCATGCAAGGCACTCCAAGTGTGAGAGAAAACTCACTGTTCTCTTAACACTGAATAGTTCTATAGAAGAATTGACGGATCTGGAATTGTCTCGAGAGGCTGCGAACCTTTCCTTGAAGTACTTTTCGACGAAAAGCATGTAATTCTATTCAATGGTGCCTTGAAATTCTTCCATCATCGTCAAAGGAACAAAGTTAATTCGGAGATATTTTTGAACTTGTCTCCTGACGGTGAGACAAATAAGAAGAAGAAAATAATTCACTTTCGACGAAAAGTCTATCGACTAAAGTGTCGTTCGACAAACAACATAGCATTCATTGAAAACAATATAAACTAATTAAACGGCCACACATCATAATCAAACAAACCTTATCAATATTTTATTATTATAAAATATTAGTTATGGAATGATTCGATGCTATAGAAAAACAGAGCACTGTTTTTACAATCAGACTATATAGAGAGAAGGTTTCTTTAAGCTTTTCATGGGGAATTAGGATGTGGGTATGAGTGTTTAAAGAGAAAAAATGTATCCCCATTCCACATATCTACATCTAAATCTTAATTTGGAAAGTGATAATTTTATTGTAAATTATCAATTTTTATATCATTTTATGAAAAAGCTGTTTCAACTTCATAATTATTCAAGTGTCGATAATAAAATTTTCTAATAGATATTCAATGAAGTTTATTATTGTTTGTCATTGTCTATTTTTGAATGATGCCAACCACCTTCTATTATGCACATATATATATATATTGATGTGTGTAATTCATGTAAAATGCATTTCCTTCCACAAATGTGAATTTTTTTTTCTATTTGAAATTATCTGTCGTCTACACTTTACATTACATGTTTTACTCCTACTACATGCAACCTCACCCGATAAAGTGCGTAGTTGACAAAAGCAAAAAAATAAAAAAATAAAAAAATAAAAAAATGGAAGTTAAGGGAAGAACGATAAGAAGTGTAAAATGCTTTAGGCATGATGCAAATATAAGAAGCGAATCATTCTAAAAAAAGAAAGAAAGCAAATAGTATAAGGCAAAAAGGAATTGAAGTCAACAGCAAAGCATCATTCATATTACTGCGATTACTTTACTGTGGTGGGTAACTTATTGAGATGGTTCGAGAAGTGAAACAAAATATTTTCAAAGTAATACACATAGCACCAATATAATCGAAATATAGGACATGAGTGAGACAAATATGAAATGAATATGTGAAACGCAATTTACTTTAACAGCTGATCGACTAATCAATGTATGTCAGTTGTTGGTTCCGCTGTCATCTCATATTTGTTCGATCTTTTTATTCTAATTAACTATATAATATTGTCTATATCTTCGATGATTTTTTATTCATATTCTATTCATCCATTACAGTTATTCAAGAGACAAGAAACGAAAGCATAATAGAAATGTGATTCCAGAATTTGTTGAGACCACATATAAAAACAACACGAACACAATGGTGAACAGTACATGTGGGTAAGATAGACAACGAAAAAACTTCCGATCACAGCAAGATGCATAGGTGTAAGACCAAAAAGCTTCACTTCATTCAACAATGTCACAGACTTAAGTACACAAGCTTCAACACTCAGTGATCTCCAATACTAAGGATTAACTACTTCGAGCCACCAATGAATGTGTCAGTATAAAAGTGAAACAGCTTTAGACCACTCAACAATAAGCTAAACTGAGACCGAAAGGCTTTGAGTTACAGACTAATGTGTTGGCGTAAGTGTGCAAAAGTTCGACTATGACACCAATTTGTCAGGTTGACGTTGAACAATTCACATTCACAGAGAAATCCCTAGAAACAACGCCAAAAAGTATCGTACAGCACAGCAATTCACACGAGCAAGAACGAGCAGCTGCGTGCAGCATAGCAATCTATCCGGATAAGACTTAAAAGCTGTAGGTAACACACGAATGGCAAAGAATTAGGACATAAATGCTGCTGACCATCCATCCATTTAGCTAAGTGTCAGCAAAAACTTTCCTATGACACAGGCATGTTTCAGAGTCAGATAAACATGCTTGAATTCGTACATGGATCCTCAAAAAGGAAAGAAGAGAGAGAGCTTCAAGCTATTCATCAATATATCTGGCTCACCGCGAAGCGTTTCAGATCAAAACCGAATACGTAAAGTGAAAACAACATATCAAAAGCCACAGAGAAATTTGTAAGAGGTTCAAGCCATGCACTTCATCTTACTCATATGCGTGTCTGAGTAATAAAAAAAAATACTTTGAGACCACACAGGGGTGTGAGATGGATGGCTATTCTATAGGTGTAGATTAGGGTGAGAAGAAGTCCCACACTCACATGAGTTCTAGAGAAAACACTCATCAGTTCGTATCCTCCAATAAGACTTTCCCTATGCAAAAATATTTTTTTTGCCAATGTCGACATCTTGATGTTGCACAAATGCAATACTATTCTCCGCCATTACGATGAAATGACAGTGTTCTGTTATGAAATTAGAGTTCTCTTTCTTTTTCATGAGACGTGACGTCGCTCCACCTCCCACCCATTGTACGAATACTGTAACGATACCAAAAATATTTTTTTTTTTTTTTTTTTTTTTTTTTGACATGATGAGTACAAGTAAGCTAGACAAGTCAAAAACACATACAGCAGACGAAATACACAACGGAAATGAAAACAATCTTTTCATGAAAATTGAAAAGCGATAGGAAAAAAGCAAAAACCAAGTGTATTAAAAGTAATTCTTATTTCAGATAAATAGATCTATATTTACAAGTATTTTTGTTCTTTCAATAAAACTGGAATATGTATTCTGCTTGGAGCGCTGCATCTGATTATGCTCTCGCTATAGAAGATGAGACAATTGCAAAAAAAGCTTGTTGTTTGTATTTGACCATGGTCGACAAAATTGTGGACACTGTCGTTGATACACCATCATTAATCTGCGACCGTCTATTTCTTGGTTCTGTATTGGATGCTCAAAACCTTTACAAACTGCAACGTTACCGCATCAAGTACGTGCTAAATTTGACGGGGTCGTCGTACTACCCCACTAATTTCTTCGCTACTTCTGGTTGTCCACATATGATTCTTCTTGCTATCAATGCGCATGATGAAGATAATTACAACATCTCTGCTCATTTTCCCATGGCACTCAACTTTATTCGCAAGTCATTGCAGGCTGGAGATGGAGCAGTTTTGGTTCACTGTGCTGCAGGTGTGTCTCGTTCGGCAACGATAGTTGCCGCCTATCTGATGGCTGCGCATAGAATTGGTGCTGCCGAAGCTGCTTTACACATACAACGGGCGCGTGCCTGTGTGTGCCCAAACCTCGGCTTTCTGCGTCAGTTGTTTCGTTTCGAGCACATGAATTTTAGATTTCCGTGAATGCTATAGTGTGATCACTTATATTTGATGTTTCTTTCTTTCCTCTGTTTTGATGACACGTACTACATTTGTATCCTTTTCTTCATCTTAAGATATTTTCTTTCTCGTTCATGTTTTTTTTTT